GTTTGGTGAGTGCGTCAGGATTTCTAAAGTAGGGTCGGCCGGGTGGGCCGGTTGGGACCATCGTCTTGTAGGTTTCTATGTGTGCCATGCCTGAGCCTATCACTAGGGAGGAGCAGGAATGCGAGAGCGATAAACTTTACAAGTGTAGGTTAGGCTAATTTGAGTATGAGCCATGCTTAATATTAGTGGCCAAGGCCCAGCAAAAGGAGATACTCAAAGGAGCCCCAATGCGAGAGAAATACGCGTAGGCCTGTCGTCCATCGTCGTTGTAGCTGTAGGTGTGCTCTGGGTAGTGTCCGAGACAAGAAACATTACGAGATGCTCCTCCGAGTGGCCAACAGGCTCAGAGTACCCCCTGGCCGGTGGGGACGCAGTCAACAACAACAAGAGAATAATGACGATCAGCGTCATGCTTGATATGCTTCATGTTTCTGACAAGCCTTCATCTCTTGTGTTACGATAGAGTTGCTACTTTCCTCATCAGTGGTGCTAAGATAACTGGGATTTGTCACACCGGTTGGCTGTATCGTGTTGATGTTGATAGTGTTGAGGGCATCGGTGGCCTCGATGAGTTGTTCTCGAGATTGAGGGATATTAAGCCATGAAAGCCAAATGTTGTTTCCTCCGTATTTTAATGAACCATAAATCTGTGCATCACTCGGAAGCGCGCTTGGGCAATATCAATTCATCGTCTAAAACAGTGTGGCCAAAAAGCACCATAGATGGCTCCGCGTTGAGCACGAACGGTCGTCCAGGAGTGTTCGCTCCACCCGACGAATGTGATCAATCTGTTGGGATGGGATATCATAGTTAATCGATTCCCTCGTATACTCATGGTGAGAGGCCGAACTCCTCTTTAAAAAGATTGCCTTTTCGCGACCACTCGTGCGAAACAAAAACAACAAAAACGCGGAAACTAATAATCAGAGTGCGACCTGCCCCGAGTGTCAGGGGACTTCTTGGAGAAAATGGGACTGACGGGAAAAATAAAAAAACACCAAATTATTCTGTTTCTGAGTCAACGTTAGTCTGGGCTAAAGTTCCGGAAGACCTCAGAGGGCCATGGTCCAGTGCTAGGCCTTTTAGACTAGCTCTGCAGGGTCCTGGGTTTCTTTACTATTTATGAGACGCTTAAGGGGAGCTCTCTGAAATCACAGACTTGCACAAGTGCGAGAGGCGATTTACCTTAGCGACGGAATCGGCTAATTTCAGCCGGTCTGTTAATTCAAGCACCATTACAGTTGTCAACGTTAATAGTTGGAGAATGGCCAACAGGCCAGCCTAGAGGGGAGATCGGTTCGATTGTTAAGAGCCGAGCCTACCAACCAGATGCACGCAGTAATGCCCCCTAAAGGCGATTCAACCACGATGGTGCGCACTCGGCACCAGGAGTTTACATTACCTGATAAGTCACTTAAGAGATCATCACTAGTGATCACAGAAGTACCGTATGGGTCAGCCACTTCTGGAGCTATCGGGTCCGTATCTGGGGGAGGAATCGGCCCTTGGCCCTCAGCAATGAGCCACTGTCGACATTCCATTATAAACCTACAGCAGAGCCGTGGTAGAATCTCATGGTAGTAGATACGTACTCGTCGGAGAGTTCCGCATTGGCTATCAGAAATAAGCTCTCGAGATAGGTCTGGAAGTTAGTGTCCATAGGGCCTACTGAAATAGACGCTACCATTCAGACTAACGGGGTGCGTTCTCTCACAGAGAACTGACTGGAAATGTAAGGGGTCCTCCTCTGAGCAGTCAAAAGTACTGCACCCTCCTCCAACACATTCAGCGAGCTCCCATAGCTTCATGAATCCACGCTGGTATCTGCAACATGGGTGTAATGCTATGATGATAACAAGTACGCTACCGAACGAGATAATCATGGGCCTCTGCTTCTGGGTGAGTATCATAATAGTTACCATCATGGTCAGCGATAGCCTGGACTATTGCCTTGAATCTGAACACCAATACTAGCGTCAAAGAAGCTCATGATTGATAACTTTACTGAGATATTTCAACTGCACTCACTAAGAAACACACCGACGTTACAACCTACAGGGAGAAGAGACTCCAATCAGCCTCGACTGGGGGGACTCACCGTAAAGGCGATGTAGAGTGTCAGCCTGAGGGGCCTCCGACGTCTTGGCGTTTGACACCCAAGGATAGATACAAATAGTGATATCAAAGAGGCCAGGACTGCGACATACATGAACGGATCGATTATGAGGTCGTTCACGTCCATATGGGCCAGACTGCCTGAAGGATCTGTGTTACCTCAATCATAGGAAGTACCCTCACCCATAGCCGTGTAAAACATTATAATGGAGAGGAGGAAGATGAGCCCATTGAGAACATCAATGGCGACTCTCCTACAGCCGATCATTGGAGGCCGGGCTCGACACCACAACGATCGTTTCTTCCGTGGTCGTGGAAGACGCCTCGGACGCTGCGTTTGGACCTCCGGCTCGCTCGCTTTGGTCGCCAGTGGCTGGTCCCGTCCACGAGGTGAAGGAGGCGAGCCTATTGGGCTGCCGTTGATGATGAACGTAATGCGACGATCTGTAGCCATGATGGCCAAAACCGTCGCGGCCTGTTATCTCTGGAGTAGACTATGACTGACTGGGCAACACGAACACTACGGTCTAGATAGAAACTTTGACAATACGGGTAACAAATAGTACGTCAGTGTTCGAGCGTTGGTGTGGAGGGTACTTGCCCTCCTTGACAACGTTCTTGTTTGGCATTCGGGGATCTCGAAGGGTCCATGATTCTGCTGCCTCCGAAATATCCAGAATTGCCCTTTGGCCAGTCCTCTCTGAGTACAACGTCAGCAGCTCTGATTGCTACCACTACGACCAGGCCCCGTGCATGGACCATCCCAGAGTTTCGTCACCAACACCTAGTAAGAACGATATCACCGGTTCGGGCAGTAGCTGGGCCCCGAACGAGGCTATGAACTAGCCATTAGTCCCCCCCAGGTTGGGAGTGGCGACAACATAGGAGCCCATATTGTCATTGATGCCGCTGATGCTGTCAGTACACAGACCGATGGACACTACAGCCTCGAATTTGCCAATAGGGGAACGGACGAGTGTAGTATTATCATAATGGTCTCCGATACGAACAAACAGCCCTGCAGGTGGGCTCAAATCTCAAATGATTATGATTACAATCATCCAGCAGAAACCCACACTCTACGCAGCCTCTGATCTCAGAGCCCGACTGACATAGTGTGGGGCATCATGGTGGCTCACCAACGCTAGGGACCACGCCAGAGGTCAACGCCCCCCCAACTCCCTATCAACAGTGATGGTCCATCGCACCCACTACTGGTCGGAGAGATCACGATGTTATTCCGTAAAGTCAAAAGTCCAAATCAGCGCAAAGGTGGTTTGTCGAAATGCTGCGTCGCCTACTTGCGAGACGGGTCGTTCAAGTAACGGGGGCCCTTGCAGACTTGACCCAACTGAACGGTAGCAGATTCTAGCCATGAATTCTTTTACTTCGTTAAACGGTGTGGTGAGGATGAGAGCAGGGGCGCGGAGATCCACGAGTGATGTACAAAATCCAAGGAAGAACGACGAAATCCAAGGGGGTTCGTTGCTCGCTCTCGTGGATTCAATCCTCGACAAGTAGACAGTGATGCACAAATATCATGAGACAAAATCGCGAGGGAGAACGGTGTGGCATGAGCTATAATGCAAGGGTAAGATAGAGCAGGTATACACATAGTAGCAGCCCGCCGAATGAAACGCTAGAAAATAGCTAAACAGGCATCAACGGAGAGAAACCCCACCATACTCCAAGGCACCCGCTGAGGGATGTACGAGTATAGGCAGAGGTGGTCAAGGCTTGGCACCGGTTATACCGAACCGGTCACCCCCACGCCACGTTGAGGCGCCAAGACCTGTGGGGGGGATTTTGTAAATTACCCATCACAGCCACCATCACAAACAGTCAAATGACAATCTTGCTCACTTGCGTCTCCTCAACGGTCCATCAACCGCGAGCTTCTGTGGCAGCATTCTACCTTGAACGATTTTCGCACTCGGTCCACATTCCTTTCGCCGTTGTGTACGTCTAATCAACAACTCATATCTGGTTCCTGACATTATGGCTACTGCTCAAAATCAAACCGGTAAGTAACAGGTGGAAAGGAGTCGACCTCGGGGGGGCTTGTGGATTCTCTTTGAATGTAGAGCTATGTTGAAGACTCGAGTGTCGGGGGCGGGGTAGTACGAAGGTATATATGCACTTCTCAGGCAACTTCACTCGGCGAGACAAACTCGTTGAATACGAATTAGCTGCGCAGAAGAAGTGGGATGAGGCCCACGTTTATGAGCGGAATGCCCCAGAGGACGGCAAGGGTCCAGTAATAACAAGATAGGTCACGTTGGGAGGGTATGGTAGTATTTGCCTTTAGGAGCACTTTATGGTGACGTTCGCCATCCCCTATATGAATGGAATGCTGCATCTTGGTCATGCCTTCTCGCTTACTAAGGCCGAGTTCGCCGTCCGTTACCAGTCTCTCAAGGGAAAGAACGTAATAATAGAGAATACTCCGTGTATCAACTCTTTCGTACTAGGCTCTCTTCCCGTTTGGTTTTCACTGCACTGGTATGCCCATCCAAGCTGCTGCTGGTAAGAAGTTTATGTGGATCAGCGCTCATCAGCTGCTGTGCTGTGGCAGGTAACCTCAAACGAGAGCTGGCTCATGCGATGGAGAGCGAGGATGAGACCAGTGATCCTGAGAGCTCTGACCAAGGACAGCAGACCTCCGGTGAAAGTAGCAGACCGCTCGTACTGGTTCATGGGGATGGTCTATTGTTAGGTGCTGTGGCCTCACTGGAGCGGAAGGCAGTTGGGATCTTCCACTCTAAGAAGTCCAAGACCAAGGCCAAGACCGGCGGCCTAAGCCAGATCGAAATCTTGAAGAGCATGGGCATCCCGGATGAGGAGATCCCTAAGGTATGTTGGAAGGGGCCTGTCGGTTTCGGTTGCTGGTCATTATCGGCATTCTCAGTTTTGCGAGCCCCAGCATTGGTTGGAATACTTCCCGCCTCTGGGCAAGCGCGATCTCAAGCGTTTTGGTGTTGCTGTGGACTGGAGGCGTAGTTTTATCACTACTGATGCCAATCCCTTTTTCGTAAGTCGAACTGGCTCATTGGGGAGGAACGCCCCTTCTCATTCAGGATGCCTTCGTGCAGTGGCAGTTCCGTCATTTGAAGGCGGGCAACCGTCTGGCGTTCGGCAACCGTCCCACTATCTATTCAATTCGTGAGGAAACAAGATGTAGTGTAGTGATGTACGGTTAGTGTGTCAGGTGATGGTCAGCCCTGTGCTGATCACGATAGAGCCTCGGGAGAAGGAGTGAACCCTCAGGAGTATACTCTCATTAAAATGGGTGTACGGGCAGTGAAACCCGAATGGAATACTGGTAATGCTCATCAGCTGTATCTTATGAATCTACTTTACCCCTTGGGGGGCAGGTGACAATAAGGTTTTCTTCGTGGCCGCCACTCTGAGGCCCGAGACCATGTATGGCCAGACCAACTGCTTTGTACTCCCTACCGCCGAGTATGGCGTCTTCCAAATGAACAATGGAGAGGTGAGTTATCGGTTCCTAATCCACTGGCGTTAGTTTGATCTTGGAGTAGAGTCGTCGTATGTTTTCCTCGTCATCAGGCCTTTATTTGCAGCTATAGGTCAGCATTGAACATGGTTATGCAGGAGCTTGGACCGAAGACCAAGAATGAGGATGGTAAGTCTCGTATGGACTTAGTCTTCGGGCAATAGTGTGCTTGGTTAGGGGAAGACTGTCCTGTGCAGCTGAGTACTGTGAAGGGTTCCGACCTCCTTGGTACACCCTTGAGTGCCCCTCTTGCGAAGTACTCGACTGTATATGCCCTTCCTTTGCTGACCATCAGCATGGTGAGTATCAGCAAAGTCGCTGTGTTGGTTTCATATTTGGTGGTGGTCTGTTCAGGGCAAGGGTACCGGTATTGTGACATCTGTCCCTGCTGATGCTCCCGATGACTATGCGGCTCTGAAGGACTGGAAGACTCGACAGAACTGGCGTGATCAGTACGGAGTAAAGGAGGAGTGGTGTGTGCCCTTTGAGGTGGGCGGCGGGGCTCGGTGGTGGCAGTTCTCATTCCGTCTATAGGTTGTACCTATTATTCGTATTGAGGACATGCCAGAGTGGGGTGACGAGGCTGCTTCGTATTTGTGCGAGTCTATGAAGATCGACTCCCACAAGCAGAAGGACAAGCTTACTGAGGCTAAGAAGCTATGCTATAATAAGGGCTTCTATCAGGGAAAAATGATTATTGGTACTGACCGGTGAGGTGTCACTATTTCCTATTGGTCACTTTTCTGAGGCCCTTATGCTGGCAAAACAGTGCAAGAGGCCAAGCCCCTAGTGCGTAAGGATCTCATTGATGCCGGTTTGGCCATCAAGTACTACGAGCCGGAGGGACTTGTAGTGAGCAGGTAGTAGTAGTACTTGGTGATGATGATGATGACCTTGTAGTGTCGTCGTCTGTTGTATGGTGATGATGGTTTAGATCTGGTGATGAGTGCGTGGTTGCCTATTGTGATCAATGGTATATACGGTATGGTGAGGAGGAGTGGAAGAATAACGTCCTTGACCATGTGCAGGTGAGGCCACCACCACTATCCACAGTACCTATGACGGTATCGTATGTATTCCTCAGCACCATTTCGAGACCTACAACCCTAGCAGTTTGAATCAACAAATCAGTGCTATAGATTGGCTGAAGAATTGGTAGTACTAGTAGTGGCAGTGGT